TTTTAGTGCAAGTTCATCAGCGGGACATTATTAGAAATGGATCGCAGAGCACATATTGTTGAGATCCGAAAACGAAAATCCCTTCACGTGTATCACTCATAACTAGTGACACTGGGCTTGAGTCGCAAACATTTGAGAGGAAGTGAAATGAGTTTTGCACTTGGCCTCACCAAGCAAAAAAGTCGCTCCATAGATGGGGGCAGCCGGGCAATCTACTGACTTTGCTTAATCTGCTCGTCTTAGATTAACACACAATTTGAAATCACTAAGGAATTGCACTGCCGAGTGTTTCTAACCCCGAAATATTAAGTCTACCACACCGGTTTCCCTGGTGATGACGTCAGACTATGAGTCGATTAAAAGTAGTCATGGTGGAGGGTGAGAAATATCAGTTAACAAGCGTCATCGACTTCTAGGTGGATCAGTGTTTACAGCGAGAAGTTACTGGCCAGAAAGTCCGTGATTAGTACCCAACCTCTGCAGCTCGGCCACTCCAGTTTAGGCTTGAGCAATCCGGTAGAATCACAGCTCTCATGCTTCCTTCGGATGACATGGCATTCGAGGTACAGCTGAACGATTATTTTATTTATACCACGCTCCATCAGCTTCCGCCGGCAATGCGGAGCTACCTACCCCCCCCCAAATCATCGGTGAACGAAACTACGACAGCTATAACCACTGTACGACTAGTACGCTGTCTTTACAGCTGACAATGATGATGATGATGATGAAGTTCACACAGCTACACATCACAACACGGGTAGAGCTTAACAAGTCGATATTGGGTAATTCGAATGTTACTTTTAACTTGTGAAAGGTACTCACAAGGGACAACTATCTTGAACAATATTTAGATGAACTATCTTCCCGGATGAAGAATCTCACACACCTAGTAGCCGCAGCGTTCAAAAATGCAACTACTTGCTTAGATGCACAGAGTTGACTGAGTGTGGAATGGGGGTGGAACTAGATCAATCTGAAACTATACCCTCTCGATCTCACTGAAGATTGCAGATAACTGCAGAACCAAACTGCCCGAGTAACCGGGAAGTAGGGTACCAGCTTCAGAATCAAATCGGATAACTAGTGCATCGAACTTCAGTCACTGAGCTTGAACCTCTGCGTCAGAAAAACTACAACATATGCAATCATTTTCAAACCTGTGAAGAACGAAGGCAATGAATTAGCCAGAGTTGAGCCCAACCACATCTGTGAAACGGTAAAGTGGATAGAGTGGTCAATGAATTTCCGTTGTTCGGAAAGTGAAATTGTCATCGCCAAGCCTCGATTGTTTGGGCTATTATTTGCCGGGGGAACCTACATGATGGACCTCCAAAATCTCCTCCTATGAGAAATATACGGGAGAATGTTATTCCAACATAATGATGTATTTGCGCACCCAGGCTAGGTTCCAAATTTGTTACCTGTTTAAAAATCAATCGGTATCAAATACCCCAGCTTCTAGTTTAGACCGTAACCTCACTAAAATTAGCTATGATAGTAAATATCCAGCTAATCGCGTGCCTTCTGCTTTTGAGGGGTTTAAGACAATCACCTTTATAGAATGGCAGAACCATGGATTTCATTTCGATAGTAATCTGACCAAAAGGCATACCAGTAACTTGCATCTGCCCTAAAATTAGCTAAGGTTCATGCCGATTTTCAGAAAACGCTGTCTTTACCTGATGTCCACTACGATGCACCTAAAAGAGACTTTGCATCCTGCGCGAACGATACACGGTTCATCCTCGTTATAACAGTACTGTTTCATTTGGAATTACAGCGCGGATCAGCAAGTGTGCTGGTACCACGTACTGGAAGCAGTAACAGAACCCTTCCTTCAAACTATTATTAACCTTCCGTCATCCAAAAACCTAGTCGAAAATTCCTTCCAAAAAGCGGATCCAAACGAATCCTTTTGAAGTCGACACCTACTAGATTGTTTGCTTATCTCTGTGCTTCATATAAGTGAAATATCTACATTAAGTGAAGTAAAGGCAGCATGAAAAAAACTGAGATTTTCCTTTCAAGAATCCGTACATTAGAGTAAGACTGCTCCGATCTGTGTCACCCATGAAAATGAAAAAGGGAGTTAGTCGCCTTTATAATCTGGTTGGGTGGTAGACAGCTCTATTTTGAACAAATTTCATCGTTTCCTCATCCATTATGTTTATGGTGGTCCAAAACACGATCGCGGACTTTGCATACGATCTTCTCGGCACCAACCACCATCATTACCACCAGTTGTAAAAACCACGCACTCGGCGTACACTGTTTCCAGGTGCCATGGTTTTGTTCACCGTTGATTTGGGGAGGTAGGTTAGATAGCGATGCATGGGAGTCAGTAGTTGCTATAATTGATGCGTAAATGCAGAGGCACCAGCGGATTTTTCATTAAGGAGGTTTGGAGGGAGCTGTGCATTAAAGGCCAACAGCTTGGATACATGGGAGCCATTGAGGACGCGACTGTGCCATGTCTGGTAAGGTTTCCAACCACTGATATGACTCGTCTCGGAGACGGCACTGACCAGCTCAAATGATTTTGCGGGTAAAGGCTTTCATGCTCCGTGGCAAAGTCATTGTTTGACCTCCTCTGGTTTGTTTCCACCCTCCAAATGGTTGTTCGAAAACGGCTCTTCGCGGAAGTCGACCAACTGGTGTACAAGCCAGCGCGACCTATGGAGTGTGGTCAGTTCATCTATCACGGGCGAGTAATTTCTTCCAAAAACCGTCCAACGTACTGAGCAATACTGGTCCGGTGTTCCCACCAGACTCTGGCAATACTCCGAAGACATCGATTGTCAATCACTGAAGGTGTTTTGACGTCCTCAGTGCGCAGTGGTCAGTTTTATGCCTCGTGTGACAATATGGAGCTCATTGCAGCATTGTAGACTAATGGATAATCGAATGTCACACCTACCCCACAGGTGATACAGATCCACGAAAACTTCTGTGACCTTCCCATTCTGGATAAAAATATCTTACTTGGCTAGAACCAAACTTTTGACGTACCCTATTCAGCAGGGAAAGTTGGTTAGTGGGGACGAAAATCTGATCATGTACGGACTCTGTGCTCTGGAGTAGGTTGACTGCAGTAGAACAGTTGGCATAGCTAGCACTCCATCTAGAACAGAGGTCTTTTGATTAATAGCCACAGTGGTATAAGTAAGATAGCAATATGCGTGAAGATGTTCAGCAAGGGTTTGGAAGAATAAGCTATGGAAGCAAAATCGGTGATCTTCTAGTATTTTCATCTTTCACCTGATTGAGGAAAGCGTCTTTCAACTATAACAAAAACAGGGATATTCCATAATTTTCAGTTCGCTGAATATTGGTAAAGTAATATAACGCGAAAACTGAGTTCGACCTTTATGTACTGTACACAGAATAAATCCACTTTTGCCGGACACTTTGGAGAGGGTTGCATTCCTCACAACTCCACGGTTAGCGTGCCACTGCGAAGGACGTATTTGGGTCTGTCAACTGATATCGATTTAAAAAATTTCTGGATGGTATATCAACTTAAACAATTCCCAGCCGGGTATTGTATGCTTTCGGTAGAGCGTTCTCAACACTTTTAATGACCACGTATCCAACATGCTTCCACGTGTGATCATTCCTGACTTTGTTCACATAAAGCCTGAAACGCCGAAACGTTATCGGTGCCGAATCAACAGAATCGCTGCGCCGAAGCAAGCAAACGTCCAAGAATCACGTTATCATATTCTTAGTCTACCGTCTTAATCTAAGTATAGAGCTCACAAACAGAATGACCTGACCCAGCTTGGATGAGTCGGACTAATAGAAACACCTGCTCGTGTTTCATTGTCATGTCGAAAGGCTCTTTCGTTCGGTGATTGAACTGTTGATCAGTCTTTCGTTTGTGCGTACACGTTTGACAGGCGAGACTGTATGCGTCATGTACTTGAATCAGTATGCTTCTGGCGTCCACCCATTTCCTTATGATAATAAAATTCGCCTCTGCTTCTAGGTAGGCTACTTTATTTACACCGGGCTTCTGATCTGTCAGGCAACAGCGATAATCAGCCCATACATTTGATTAATCTATCATACATAGCAACTTAAATTAACGCGTGGAGTCAATCATGCATGGAATAGATGCAATAGATGTTTGCGTCTCCGTGTAACGCATATATTCTGTTCACAACAATCGAATGGGTGTTTCCGATTCTGCAGATACGTGCAGCCTAATGCAGTGTAGCTTGCACGCACTCCAGAAATTTCACACACAATTCTTCGGAGTAAATGAAATCCACATCGGCAGACAGTAAATCCTTGGTAGGATATTTTGAGGCCATCTTCATCATATGTTGGAGTTGGTAACAAAAAGTATGTTAACCATGCAACAACTAGCAAGCTTTCAGAACAGTCTTACGAAGATTAGACGCGACGTTGACTTGGTCTAGAGTTGTGAGTTCTGTTTTAATCCCGTGGCTTCGTGATCAGTCATTCTTTTTTGTCTTGGAAATCATGATCTTCTACGAGGGGATGACACAACTATCGACTTATCACCCTAGGGCCACCCGTGATTTCCGGAAAAGATTTGTTAGCAATATTCCTGCTATTTTTGTCCCTATATATATTGCACAGTTGTCTGCTCCCGAAGAAATCACTTCTTCGAGAGTGACTACTTTTGATTAGTGCTTAAAGCTCATTCCAGGGGTTATGCATCTCCCAAAAAGACTTCAACAACTTCAGCGGTTTCCCCAAAGAGAGATATTGTAAACAAGTAGACTCTGACATATTTAAACTCACAAGCAGGATTACTGGAGATCAAATGCCTAATTATTTGCTTCGAGTTTCTGTTTCTGGAGTTTCTGCCATGGAAAAGCTGGAAATAGATAAGCTATTTTATATTCCGAAACCTATATAGGAAGGGAGGAGTGAAACGTATTCTAAGTTGAGTAACTGGGTGAAGGTCAAACCTTTTGAGATCATTAACGTGCGCATCAGTAGTTCGACAGGAGTAAGTTACTCACCTGAAAACTTTGGAGCATTGATCACAGTTAACTGCTTGGGCTACATGTGCATCCAAATTGTGCCGTCGAAGTCCAGTGTGGGATCGAAAACGCTGTGAACATATCGAGCAGCAATATCGACCCTGGGGAGGGTTTGGTGTGGTTTCCGAAGGTCCACTTGTGCTATCCATTTCGTTCGGAAGTGCTCGGAACATTGGTTTGTCTGTCAGTGTCGGTGAATCACTGTTGTCTTGCAACAATAACCCCATGGAAGTACTTCTCCCCACAATTCCATCAGCCATGTTAATATCAGGCTCTTCCGTTTTGATCTGATTTGAGGCTGCAGTGATAATTTTGGCAAGTAACTGTTCTGCCGTATTCTTCAAGACACCAGTACCTATGATTATCAAGAAAGAAAAACTGAATGGTAAATGTGTCTAATACAGAATGCATTCACTCCTTATCGCTCGCTACTACATCAATTCCCAGACTTGACTACACCATATTTCCATCAACCCCAACCTAAGCATGCAGAAGGTTGCGTGTTTGGGTCACGTCGGGCTTACTAATTGTAGTGCTCTAGGTCTAATACAGAATGCATTCACTCCTTATCGCTCGCTACTACATCAATTCCCAGACTTGACTACACCATATTTCCATCAACCCCAACCTAAGCATGCAGAAGGTTGCGTGTTTGGGTCACGTCGGGCTTACTAATTGTTAGTGCTCTAGATGTGACGAAATTAAGCTGATTATCAGGTAACAAGCCCTAACAAATTTGTCTTACTAGAATGTGATGAATACGGTGGTTAAGTGCACCTGATAAAAATAGATACACTGCGAAAAGTGGAACAAGCCAAAAATGTGACTTATCGTTTGAGGACACTTGTTGAGAGATCCTGAGTGAAGTTCTGGATGCGGGACGTGTCTTCTCTGCAGTATAGCTGCTACACCTGTTCCGCAGTTGTCGGTGGGAACTTGTGGAGATCTGTTGACTCCCTATCCTGTGCACGCGAGTGTGTGTTGAGCCTAGTTGTATGCCTATTTATTGCGTGTATTGTGAAGATAGGGGTATCCCTTCGTGTCTGAAACTTGCACGAACATGAACACAACTTGACCTGATGTGTTGAATGGATTTCATAATCCTGGCGCATGACGCAATTGGTAGCCGCGTAAACGAAAGGGGGTGAGAACTTTTACTGTACATGTTGTCGGCTGACGTTGCAAATGGGACAGGAATTGTCACGTGGTTTGAGTCTTTGTAACACGTGATCCGATGAATGACCTTTACAGATACTTTCCCCTTAGCGAAGGAGAGGAGGTGCTGATGAAATGGTAGGTGATGCTCATGGTTGTGGGCTAAATAAGATAAGAGACAGTCTATGTGGATGTACTAATAAAATTAGTTCCAGGGGTAGGTAGACAGGACAGTAGCCGCTACAAAACCATGCAGCACTTGAGTTTAATTTTAGGTTGTAAGAGAGCCTAGTGCTTTCTTCAAAGCGTGGTCGATCTCAAGTTCATGTGCTGAGAATACTACAAACAATAAAACATGTTTTTATACCTGTAACGTTTAAAAAAATTCCGATCTCAGCCATTATCCGGTGAAATTATGTAGGTATATTTGACTGCCGATCTCCGTATTTTGACGTGGATGCTAGCCAAACGTACGTGAAGAATCACATGCCCATGGTCTTATAGCCAACTTAATCGGCTAACGTATAACACATATCATTCAAATTCAACTATGCTACATCCTTGTTCGCACACGTTCGCGACACTTGCTGCACTTGGGAAATGCATTAAATGGTCACGTAAAGCATGATGCTTTTTCATGTGGCCACTCATTTTTCCAGGCGCTGAATGTTTGATACACAATAAATACTCAAAGCCGTTCAAACATTCGTTATTAGGTAGAAACACACTTGAACAATTCTATTTAAACCTAAGCTGATAAGTTGAAGTTATTTTCCGGCTTAAGCCATGAGTGGAGGGTTGCCAAAAGTTTCGAACTGGAGTAACACTCGACTGCTCTAAAGTAGTTACATTTTGTGACAAATTGCAAGACAGAGACCAAATGGTACCTATTCGCCACGCTCACGAGTATCGTCAGTGGAGACGTGGTGCTAAGGTCAACCAAAAGAACACGCGATAGATACTTTTCTATTCGGCTCTTGTGCCTGGAGGACTGGGTCTCAGGACTGTCTCAGCAAAGAATTGATTTTCAGGACCTGTTTCAATACAAATGACCTTGACAAAGGAACTTTCCTTAACAGAATGATGTGCTAAAGTGCCTCGGGCAGCTCACCAATTTATGATGCTAACACTGACCAGCATGACAGCATTAGAGTAGGCGAGCAAAAGTAACTATCTCACGCGTAAATCCCCTTCCTCTTAAATTACACACATTTTTTAAATTGCGAGGGGTTAGAAAACCAAAGGAAGCCACATCCAGATGCCCAATCTAATTTGCATCGCAAAAATGTCGTCTTTTGTTTTTAGCCTAAGAGCTGACAACGAACCGACAATGAATTTCGTATCACCAATAAAGCAAAGAAATTTTCAGGGATATCGCCAAGAAGGAAACACGTTGGCAACACCCAAAAAAACGAAGCACGTGCTGTTGGCTACCCATGCCTATAAATACTGCACAAACAAACGACTGTATCACAGCGAAATCGTGGAACAGCAGACTGCATTGCATAATTTTTTTTACTCCATCAAATTAATACTGATGAATCATGATGTGCGTCTACGGCCCTGAAGAAGAACCAGTTTAAGCAACACATTATTTGTAGCTGAAACACACTACTCATAAGGCTGCTGCAAGCTCTTCGACAACGCACCAGCGGTTTCACCCTTCTTAAGGATCTTCAGGTGGGCGCAGTTCCAGAATTTGCGTTCCAAGAAGATCAAAACTAATCGTGAACCGTCGGAGAGTTTTCAGTAAACTTATGAGTAGCGTGTTGCACCTAGACAACAAAGTATTGCAATGTCTCGAAAAAGCACATTTTCCCATCACATAATATCTGCAGGTACAGCAATAAAATTGCTTTTTGCGCTTTCGCAGCAGTCTAAAAGTAATCAAGGTCCAAAACTGCAGTCATTGCACGCATACGGTAAATCATTTTTGTCTTCATTTCGTGGCTGGGAATGAGAAAAGGCCTGCTAAAAGGGCTCTTAGGCAACTTGAAACGCTTCAACCAGTCCCCTCGTCAGGTTCATCAGAGAAGTGAAGTCGTAGCTGCACTTTCCGAAAGTACTTCCTGCTCTGCTAATCCCACACGTTGTACGGATGTGCAGATCTAATACCAGTCTTCGCTACTTCAGATAGCTTAATTTTCAGTAAAGTTGATGCTCTTTGGTGGATGTTCGACGCCGAATTGGCGTTACCAGACCACCATCAACGTAATCATGGTACCATTCTAACACAAAGTAAGGATATAGTTCACCACTCGTGGTTGATCATAGTGAAATACTGTGGCAGACTGGTTGCGCTCTCCTAGTTGATATCATGTGTGTAATGGATTGCTATCTCTACCCACCTGTTCAGCACCGCTCGCTATTGGACAGATCTCAAACAACTCTTATTGCCGTAATGAACGTACAAGTTCTGGGTCTGAACAACCTAGCAGACCTCTGATAAAGGGCATAGCCAAGCTGTGCCATGGGCCTAGCTAGAGTGACCAGCGCTTGAAGGTATGCGACAGTAGAGACTGCGCGATAAGAGTTCCGGAAGCAAAACGGTTGCAAACTGTCAGTGGTTTACTGATCGAACGGATAAATGTCCCCAATGTCCCGGCTATTCTGTTCAGTTTAGGGCGCGAAAACTTATTCGTACGTGCATGTTTGAAAGAATTGGTTTGCAGTACATGATTTTGGCCAAGTAGTTGTTGCAATATAGATTCATGATACCAGTGTCGCTGCCTGTCAGTAATTCAAACTGCGGCTGAACTACTGCAGGCTATCCGCTCGTTGCCCAGCGGTTAAATGTTAAACTACTAGATAGATTCATGATACCAGTGTCGCTGCCTGTCAGTAATTCAAACTGCGGCTGAACTACTGCAGGCTATCCGCTCGTTGCCCAGCGGTTAAATGTTCAAACTACTAGCCGGAAGGTCGAGAGTTCGAACCTCAGTAAAGTTTCGTAGAATGCATACTGCTGATGGTTCCCAACAAGAATAAAGGAACTGTACTTCTCTATACTTCCCTTATAGTGCGATGTCTCATCTGAAAATTCCAAATATCCCCATACAGACAACACTTAATCAAAGTTTTCTAGCGTGATATGGATAAACTACGGAGGCTCAGCTCGTGGGAAGAGTTTGCCAGTTTAGGAAGTTCAGCAAGTAAATTCAAGAGAATGCAGGGGTCAGAAATGCAAATATTTAAAAAAAAATTGTTCTCACTTTCTAGTGAAGATCAGTAGTAAATTCTGGTGCTATAAATTGAGGGAAAGAAGCTCCTTTAATGGGGAGAAGGATTGAGTCATTCAGTTACTCATTGCAGAGAATGAATCAGCTCATAGAAAAGCCGCCAAGATTAGGAATAAGAATGGCTTCATCCGAATACGTGAAGTAAGGTCTGAAAAAGCTTACATTGAAGAGAGATCTGAACACTTACTCTTCCGGATTACCTGGGCTCAAAGTATTTGTGTCATGTAAACGAAAACTATTCTCGTGAACGAAGAACGGTTAAGATTTTCACCACCTTAACCGTTTGCCAGAGTCTCATCCATTCTCGGGCCAGACGAACATATCTTACATTTTAGTGTTTAAATTTAGCGGAGGGCTGTACTTGAAGGTAATCCGCACAAGACACATTTATTTGCAAAGCACGCTCATCCCATCGATCACGGTACTCATCACCTGCATCTCTGCTATATGCTTTAGCTGCTAACTGCTTGTTATCGACCTTACAAGTACAGGCCTGTTGCTACTTATTGTCTAAAGCGGCGGTTGAAGAAAAATGAGGTGGCACCAACTGAAGGAACGGCTAGTGTTCCATGGGCAAGTACTCCGATGGTTCCCTCTCCAACCGTAGGGTGAATTACTATGAGAAATCAACATGCTGGCACCTGACAATACCATATATGCAGTATCAGAATCGTCACGCAGATAGACTGGGAATGATTTTTCCCTGTTGACTTATTAAATCAATTCATATTGCCAGCTAAACGTGTATTGGCTAGCTGTCACATCAGTTTCCGCGTAAAATCTTGAACCAGATACTTTTTTCAGGGTAAATCTCATCCTGCAAACGACTGTAACAAACGTTACCGTATGAATGAGTCAGATCGTCCATTCCCGTGAGGTATTTTAGTGAGCCAGATGATTTCTTTATGCCTTTAAAATATACTTTAAAACATGTACACTGAGGTAAATTAGGAGAGTTCTA